GCGGGAAAACGAATTCTTTTTTTTCGAATTGTTTGAATAGTTTTTTCTTAACCGTATTATATAGTAATAGATAAGGCGTATAAAGATTTCTCATATTTTTTGAAATATAAGGCGCGCTCAAAAATCAAGACAAATTTTTGCATTTTTTTCCAAATATACCCTCATTGTGTTGAAATTAAGGAAGTGTGGAGTGGTTGTGATTAGAATAAATAAGGTTAATTTAGTCAATTTATTCATTAATTAATGTCTTCTTAATATTTGTGCAATAAACTTAAATGCCTTATATTTCAAAATGGAGGGAGTATAAAGGTAGAGGGTGTAATTCCTTTTTTAATCCGCTATGCACTTTTGGGCTACAAACTGAGCCCACACTCATTTAATGGACTATTAGTGAAGTCCAGAAGAATCAGCCCATTACCCATCACAAAATCCAGCATAGAACCCTAGTAAAGCTATTAGCCACGCAAAATTCATGTATAAATACAGCCATTTCTGAGCCCTTCTCAATGTTCTCTCAGCTGCTACCTTCAACAAGCTTCTTACACATCTGAGCCGCCAAGCGCCATGGCTTAACACCTAGATTTGGTACTTAGGTTTTATGTTATCTGGGATTTCACAGATTGTCTCTGTTTTTCTCGATGCATTGAACGTTTTTTCATTTTCTTTGTTGGTATTTTGTATGGGATTTAGATTATTGTTTTTTTTTGTGCTGTGATGATGCAATTTATGTGGACTAGAGTTTCTGATCTTGCATTTGAAGACTAACCCTTGGCTGTCTGAGCACACTATCCCTCTTCCCCCAAAGTTTCATCTCTTTCTTGAAAATAAAAATTGAATCTTTATCCTTTTCCTTGATTCCCACCATCTTTTTTTCTGGGCTTGTGATGAAAAAATATTATCTTAGCGGATTTCAGTGAGATTTTGATATTTTTCTTGATCAATGATCTGATTGTTACACACACTGAAGCCCTTTTTCCCCTTGTTTTTCTTGATTTTTTTTAGCAATTTCTATGCTATGATGAGATAAGACACCATTTAGGTGTTTATGGGGCAGTGGATTAATTTCCGTGAGCCCATCTAATTAACGACTTCTCCTTCCACTGAGCAAATGATAACTTTTCATATTATATTTTTATTAATTAGCAATGAATTGTTTAAATACTCTGTTTATTATTATTGTTGTTATTGTTAATGATTTGTGTAGATGCGTCCATTACCAATTCTGGGGGATTTTCTGTTCCTCTTGGCATAATGGCTCGGACGCCATATTGAATTGTGGCTATCCTGATCAGTGGCCTTTTATTCCATGCCATTAGATCCTGGAAACACCTCATAAATTATCAATCAGATTAAATTAACATAATTTCAATTTTTTTTAAAGATTCTTTTGGGTTCTTGCTTTCTATAGGCGTTGCGTTTTTTTGGCAAAATCCATTTGAACGTGTCAAGGGAAGCATAGATTAATTTGTTGTTTGAGCTTCACCCTTTTGGGTTTCAATGTAGCAGCTATATATGATTTGTTATCAGTTTGCATGGTGATGTGCTTGAACGAAAATTATGATCAAGATTTTTTTATTTTTTTCCTGATTTTTGTGTTGCGATGTTTGTAAGTATGAGTTTATAGTAGTTGCTTCATAATGGTGAACGTTCTCTTTGAAATTGTGAGATATGTTCAAGTTTCCGAAGCATAGATTGAAATATGGTCAGTTTTAAACAGTGTGGTGCCTTTTGTTTTGTGGCATCATGCTACCTGTCTCCTGCCACATTTCATTGAATTTGTTTGAACTTACAAACATCCCATTAATTTTTTTTTTTTCAAAGTGACCACCTAATTGCTAGACATTCGTTACCAGTTTTATTACCAACATGGTGACTCACAATAAACATAATTAGAAGAGATGACTCTGAGAGTGAACATAATCTTGTTTTGAACATAATTTAGTTACCAACATTTGAATTAAACATATTTAGAAGATAATCTAGTTACCAATGTCTGATGTCAACCAATGACAAAATTGTTGTTGAAAAGGTGAGAAAGCAATATAATCATCCGTAGAGATTTTGACAAAGTGATGTGAACCAAATAATCATCAGATCAAGAGAGATTATAGGTTGATTGATTTTGGTTGAGAAAATGTATGCTCACTAACTCTATAAGTACGAGGGGTTATTCTTTATATATCAATTGAAATTGTTTCTAAAGTTGATTTGAAACAAAAGAAATATATATATATATATCCTTGTTGTTTCTGTAATTAGTTATTCATTTGGTTGCAATTTGGTTCATAGTCAATTTTTTTACAATCCACAAGTTCTCACTACAACTTTTACTTATTTCATTAAATAGGCCAACTAAGATGAATTCTGTTACACTTTTTACTAAGTTCAGTTCAAGAGCCCAACTAATTTAAAGACGAATTCCATTGAAAGAAGTCATTGATATCATTGATATCTTATGTGAAAATAAAACACACAAATTGATAGAGGTCGAGAATCGACAAGATTTCCTCAATCCTCCCTTCTTTTGGCTTTTAATGAATTTTGCTTACTATTTTTGAACAACTTAGAGACAGGTTTTCTTATTATTATTACAAATATGAAAATAATTCTCATAATCAAATTCAATTGTCAACAACACGAGTTTTACCTTTCTATTGTATTAATGCAAAATAAAACAACACGAGTTACCTTTGTATTTTATTAATGCAAACATAAAAATTGGTACCAGTAACTGCAACGAATTGTGTAAGTGCAAAACAATGTAATAGTAGCAAAATATTAATGGTTTTTTTAATAGTTTTTTCCTTAAAAAAAAAATTATTCATCTGTTCTCTCTTTTCGTTTCAATTTTATTAATATAATTAAATAATAAAAATAGATCATTGCTACACATTATCATCAAAAGAAATCTTTGTTCAATGACGCACATATTTATAGCTACCAAATATTTACATTTATTATTTTACTATTTTACTATAATATTAACTTTAATCATTACAAATTACTTTATATTCATAATTTCAAACATATTTTATTTTTCCAACAAGTATTTTTTTTTTTAAATCAAATAAATTTGTTCAAAAGAATATATATTCAACCGCTTTATTTTAGTTTGTTGAATCATTTTTTCACTTTCAGCGATTCATTGATGAGTTTTTAATAAAATAATGAAAAACTAATAATAGCTTAAAAATTTTAAAAGTATAATAGATCAAGTGCTATTTTGTAACTAATGTAGATCTTAAATATTTTCTTTTTTTCATTTGACTTCACTCATATTTTTCTATACAGTTTTTAAATTGGAAGTCAATCATTAATACACACATACATATAACATACCATTCATTTATTCACATATTACAACTATGAAGTATTTTATTATTTCTTCATTAGCCTAAAATTAATTATTTTTTATTCCACATCATTTTACATTAAACCAATCATTATAAACGAGTAATCCTGATGTTGGTGGATTTGGGCAGGGAGATTTTCTACAATACTTATTTCATCAATAAAAATAATTATTAAATAAAAAAGTTCAACCAAATGAAATTATACTTAACAATTGTCTCAATGTTTTCCCCTACTTTTGAACTACAAATTATCATGAACAAAAATTAACTTAATAGTAAAAGTGATAAAAGGAAAAAAGAAAAAAAATGGGTATAAAAAATGTATTAGTTTTGACTATGAATGAATAATGAGGTAAAAGAGAAATGGTAAAAGTAATATTTTATGAAACCGCATAATATAATTTTCTAATGCGTTGAGCCAAAATTATAGACTCGCTTTTTTCGAGTACCATGAGACACTTTTCATGCTTAAAATGAATTTTACTTTACTTTCAATCTAAAAATAACTAATTCGGAATATCAATAAATACTTGATATTTATAATTATTTTTAATATCATTAATTATGTTTTGATTTTATTTCATATTCTAGACGTGTGTTATAAGGCATAAGGCATCATTTTTTTCCAAATCTTTATTTTTCCTTCATCTTTTATAAATTATAAAAAGTTACCAACTTAAATTATAATTATATTTAAAGTTAATAATTTTTTTATTTATTATCGATTTTTTATATATAATATATCAAATTAATCATGTCTCGATGAGTTTTGATTTGACATCTATATTGTACAAACAAAATTAATAAATAACTAAATTGATATTTATAATAAAAATTTAATTATCTACTAATATTAATTGAAAAAAATAAATTTATTTAATTAATTTTAACTACAAAATAGTTATATGATATAAGTTAAAACATTATTATAATATAAAACGATAAGGCATATAAGCGACGGATGTTATTTTAAATATAAATAATAATATCGTTTTCCAAAATAGTATTTTAAAATTAAAATCATATTTTTAATTTTTAATTTTAAATATAAATTTCTTAAAACTATTTTTGTAATGCACGTACGAGTTAATAAATTTAAGATAGTAAACAATTGATTAGTTAAAAAAATAGTCGATAAATAGTGAATTTTGTTGGAAATGTAGGAATTAAACCATATATAATTATATAAATATATATATATATATATATATATATATTTTGTTTTAGTTTTATTGTAAAATGATGATAAGAAAGTAGAAATAAATAAATAAATTTTTAATGAAAAAGTTATCAACCTAATTTGACTAGCTAAAATTTGCAATGTGCCGAATTTGCAATGCTAAGAGGGTGATTGTTTATCAATTCATCTAGAAATTAATTGGTTTTTTTTAACTATAGTTACTTTTGAAAAAAGTTAGTATAGTTAGTTGTTAGTGGATATATTAAAATAATATTTAAAATAAAATAATTAAAATTGATAGATGTAAAAGTAAGAGAAAAATGATTGGAAATGATGGTTAATTAAAATTATGTGAGTGGATGAATAGTGAATTAAAGTTGATGTGATGTGTAAGAAAGATTGGTTGGAATTATTTAATTATATTGGTAATAATGGAAATAGTGGAGTTGTGTTAAAGTTGAGTTAAATTTGAGTTTTGATTGATTTTTTTTGAATTGGATTGATAAACAATCACACCATAAAATTATCAATCTAATTTGTATTAGGGAGTGGAGAGAGATAAATTTGCAATGCGCCGATTTTTTTGTAGTGTATAGGTCCGATATCTGAATCCTCCGGGTCTCTGAAATTAAGCAGCGACTAGAATTACCGACGAGAGAATAATTTGACTGAGGAAGATGGTGGAAAGGAAGCATTACAAGACAAAAATATGTCAGCTGTATCAAAGAGGCCGCTGCTCTCGCCAGTACTGTAACTTTGCCCATGGCTCCGCCGAGCTCCGGCGCTCCTCCTTTAATGGTATTTTTTCAGTTGTGCTGTACATGTTTGGATCCAATTGAACAGCTAATTCTGTTGTCTAACCACAGCTTTTTGTACCAAGTAATGGACGCATTAGTTTTCTGTTTAATTTGCTAATTTCCGTTTAGTTTTTATGATCATTTATAGAATATTGGAGACATGGGAACATTGAAAGTAGTGTAATAAGCTTGAAGTGGGTGTATCTTCATTCATTTGTATATTCTTGATGTTCAGTGCTGGCCTAAATTCTTGATCCCAAACAGAAGGATGGAAGCTACATGGACATATAAACTCTATCTTGTATATGGATTTGATCAGAGGATGGTTAGCCATGTCAGTTTATGTGGAAATATTAACTTAGTAATACAGTTGCTGATTCAATATCTGCTACTACCTGTTGTTATGTGGCACTAAAAAATATGGCAAAAAAATATCTATATCGTTCAATTTATAAGCGGTAGTAACACATTATAAATCTTTATGTAACTATGTTATTATTAGTTGACTTATGTTCCTTCTTTGTTTGCTTTCTAGTAAAGTATCCTACGGTCAGTTAATTGCAATTGACAAATTAGTGCATGATTTGATCATGATAAACTGTAAGAAGCTGCATGATGCCTATGCTAATTGAGGTTACAAGGAAAGACTTAGCCATGTGAGAGAAAAATATTTCCTTTTACTTGTTCATGCAGCAACCTATCCTCATTAATCATCAACACTGTATGTTGTAAACTAATGATTGCAGCCTTTTACTTTCTGTCCAACGTATCATTCAGAAATTTTGTGTTTTAGTCCTCCCCGATGCAGGAACGTGCTTATGCTTGATGCTTGTTTGGATATTCTTGCGACTCACTGAAAATTAAGAAATTTTGTGCAGCCACTGCCTGTTCGGTTTATTTGTAAAATTTCCAGTTCACTGATTTAATATCCTTATCAGAGCGGATAGTGCTGGTTCCTTTATCTTTATGCTGCCTTTGGTGTTGTTTTCTGGGCCTTCGTGGTTTTTCTACCAAATCCATCTTGAAACAGATGTGTTTAAGAGGCATCAAATAGGTTCCAGAGATATTTGTGCAGTTCGTAGAGAACATGGTACCATGATATTTTCTTCATCTGATTTCATGTAAATGACACTGCAAAGGGCCGCCCATTATCTTACTCTATTATGCAGTGTGCATATTCTTCGACAATGTCGTATGTTCTCATATTATTCGTCCACAAAATATTCTGGAAAGTGGGATGGAATCTCTTGGCTTTCTTGCTGAAGTTTTATACCACTGATGCCCCTTACCCGTATCATGCACGTCGAAGGATGTAATTATTTATTTTCATACGGGCACAAGAAGACCTCTGCACCGTTGCTTTATATTGTTATGACACAAGGGCAGAGGATATCTATCTTTGAATTGCTTCCATCATTCTTGAAGGGATTATCATTCTATAAAAGCTCGTGGTATAGGCTTATCTATCTTTGTACATGATTATATGAAGTGCCATTAGTTCTATGGCTCATGTGGAATCTTGAAGAGGGCACTTAAAACTGTTCATAATTATGTTACTCATATGTTCCTTGTAATGGTAAGCTTATCTTCACGTAGATTACTGACTTATGGGCTCCTCGCTTGTGTCTATTTTTGAGATTATGCCTTTATAAGTCCTTGGTGGTATGATTTCTTTTTTCCCCAAACTGCAGGAAGGCAGGACACCAGGGGAGGTGGAGACCTGAGAGAAAGGCTCGACAGAATACGTTCTCCATCGCACAAGTCATCAGCAAGAGGAGAGCGTTCTTTTCATAGTAAGATGCCATACACTCGTATTTTGGTCGCACATTTTTGACCTTAGTAAGTCATCTGCCTGACACACTTTATTGTTTAATTTTGTTCTATAATTTTTTCAGGAGACAGTCCCGGGTCTCATGAGAAACGAAGGTAGGTTCAAATTAATCTTAGTGTTTTTGCTTTTGTCTTATCCTGATTGAATGTTATATAATATATTAAACTGCTAATCAAATTGATAACTCTTGTTTTGTCTGTGAATGGTTGCATGTATACGAAGCAATCCACTATATCGTGTTTTTCTTTCTCATTTGTCTCTCGCACTCCCATCCACACATCTTCTGACTATGTGTTTTTCCCTTAACAAAAAGTCATTAGATACTGACTTGTGGAGCAGCACCATGATTATGAGGAACCACAAATTTGACATATCTACATGAATAATTTTAATTTTTTAGCTTTTCTTATATTTGAACTTCTTCAATGTTGCTCATTTAAGGTTATTATCTCTATCTTCCCCCTTAAGAAAAAGACTGAAATTTATGTTTTTTAATTCTGCGTGTATCAAGGTTGTAGAGATTGGATCAACAGAAGTTGTTAATAGATAGTTAAAGATGGTAATGATAGGTAATGATCTATTATTTTGGGAGCAGTTGCAGAATCTTTTAAGGGAGGTATTCACCCTAGAAGTGTGGCTGTATTTTGGGGTTGGGAAGTAGTATGTAACTTGGCATTTCCACAAGTTTCCAAGGTCGGTTCCTTAGTGCATAAAATGCAACATATGTTTGAGAGTTTACTCAATGAAACTGAAGACATTAAAATGCTCTCAGATGATTCTATGTTCTGTGTGGCACACTGGCCTGGTAGCTCTGCTGTCTGTCATGGCTATTTCCTTAACTCTAAATGTGGTAGTAAGTTTTGTTTCTTTCTTTTTTTCTTTTTTCCTTTCACTTCTCGGCAAGGTAGCAGTGTAGCTAAACATGCTCTGGATGTAAAACTGATATTTTGAAATTTGCATCATATAGTCATGGATTTTTCCCCTTTTGTCTGATTCTGTCTCAGTAGTTGCCTGGAGCATTTTCTCTGTTTTCATGGTTGAGTCAACTGAATGTTTGCTTCTATGAATTCCCTTCCTAGTCTGAGAGGCCGTTTTATTTTGCAGTGAAAGAAACCACCGGAAGATAAAGCAGTTGGATGATCATACTGGTTATTCTGAGAGAATGTCGGATGGTGATGAAGGCCGAAAAAGAGATAGCAGACGGACATCTTCTGATGCCAAATTTCGCACCGATGAACAGGTTTGAATATGTTTCTAGCTTTTTAGATGTTGTGGAAGTCTCTGAGAATTTGTCATTTAGGGTCATTATGGTGGTTCTGTAGCTGTCACCTTCATCTTTCCTCCCTCTTTTTTAATGGATTATGTGCAGTTGAGAGAAATACATACTGATATTGAGAACCTGGAGAGGGACAAGCGGCACCTGGAGGTTAGTTTTACTTTTCTTCATACAAAATAGGTGATTGATTTGTATTTGGAGAATATAATGCTGTCAAATGTTTATCAACTGGAGCGCTGACATTGAACAAACTTTCACTAGACACATGTGTTGGCATATAGTTATTGAGATGTAGAAAATAATTAATCTGATTCTTAAAAAAATATGTCAAGTGCAGTTTCCATTCATAGATTATAGTGAGTAGCTCTCTAATGCTGCTTTCTTGTTTTGCTATCTTGTGTGTCCCATTGTTCATCAGCAATTTCCACAACTTATAGTTTTATTTCCATCTATTAGGGGTGGATAGTCGGATTCTATTCTTGTTAATTCTGCCACTAGAATTTTGTTATTTTTGTGATCTTTTTGTTCCTCACTTATCATCAGACATCTTACGAGTTTACATTACATTTTACCCTTCTCTTCTAAAACTGTAGCTTTTTCTGCTTTTATAACAGATGTGCCTGGATGATAAGATTAAGGAAGAAGATACATTAACTTCGAAAATGCATGAGCTTGAGATGCAACTTTCTAAAGAGAATGAGGAGGCGAAAAGGTTCTAAGTTGTCTTTAGCTCTTATAATTTTTGTTTGATAGGTTTATGTGTTTTTATTAATGAAAGTTCAGACATGGATGTCCAATGTTATTTCAAAGTTTCTGGGCACTTGACAGCAACAATTGCATCTTTTGGTTTCTGAATGCATAATATCATTATGCTAAAATTTCAGCTAATATTGCCTCTCTTTTCCTCTATCTGTGTTTTACTTCTCTCCTAATGCACAGATAATTTCATAAATTTTCAGTTCTCACTATATGAAGTTTAGTGAGAGTTCTTAAAAGTACCTTCAATGAGGATTCTAAGTTGTCGTTTTGTTTCATTGCGACCTTACTTCTGTTGCAGGTTGACTGAAAAAATTAAGAAGTTCATTAAAGCACATAATCGTCATTTGCGATTACAAGATGAACTGAAGAGGTATGGTCTTTTTTCAATGATGGTTTTTTCATATCTTTTTATTTCCTATGTATTGTAGTTCATGTCTAAGTTTTCCCGTTTTATAGATCACATGCTGAGCTCCAGAAATTGGGTGAGCAACTGGATTCAGATGCTGAGGGGCTAGGTATTGAAGATGATCCACGAATCAACTCCGTAAATGATAGAATAAATGGTGTTTCTAGCCCATCCAATGAGGGTTCCCATAGAAAACGGCCACGACTTTTGATAGAAGATCATGATGCATCAAATCAAGGTAATATAATATATATGCGTAAAGAACCTTTTAGTATATAACTCAGCTGGCCTTTGAAATCATGAACACTTACACTTCCACATTGTTGAGTTGATCCAATTCAGGCATTTCTCAAACATTGGATTGCCTAAATATTCATAGTAGAAAGGTTCTATCTATCACGTTCCTGGCATTGCCATTACTGTGCACTAATTTTGAATTTCTCTAATTGCTTTGCTTCATGAGTGAAATTACCACACTTAGGGTTGTTGGATTTCTTTCTTATTTTTCAAAGTTACAGTTACCTGTATCATACCTTAAAAATGTAGCGTGCCTGAATATAGCCAAGCCAGAGACTTAGCATCGCCTTGTCCAACAATTTGGTGTGGAAGTTCCTTAATTAGATGTTGCTTCTTATGGACTCCTCTTTCTTTTAATTCTGGGATGGTACCAGGAGGATGAGTGATTTCTTGATAAAGCCACAATTTGTTGATTTTCTAGATTTTTATTATCCCTGGAATTTGACATATTAGTTACAAATTATGTTTCTCCCACATTGTTAAGTTTAGGACTGATTGTCTATAAATATGGCTTGGATACTCTCTCCATTTGAGCTAGCTTTTGCAGATGACTTCTACCCAGGCCCATTAATCAACATCCCACGTTTAACAATAATGTTGTTATTGTCCAATATATTTGTTAACAGCTAGGAAATTATTTTCTAAGTTTAACCCTTATTGATGGACCATTTCCTGTTGCATGCATTGCATGGAAGTGGCTATCAATGGGAAGCCATTTGACTCAAAATTAGTATTGGTTATTTGACATACAGTAGTTGGTACTTCAGAACATTTCCTGATTGTTCTATGTATTGCTTTGTTGTCTTACATCTGAGAATACTTTGGTGTCTTACATCATTAGTTCATTACATAAAGCTTAAATATTTCATTCAGTGAATGAGAGAAATAGAGTGGAAAAGCTTTCTCGACGGTCTGTGCATCATAATCTGACGAGTAACAGCAAGAAAGCTGAGGCAGAGGTTGATGCATATAACCAGACTAAACTCTCGGCTTATGAAGACAGGTCCAGAAGAGGAATAAAACAGCCTGCTGATACTGTTGCCTCTGCTGAAAAGGTGCCTCCTTTTTGTCTAATAAATTTGCTATCAGCTTTTCTCGTACATTTATAGCAGTATATTTGCTTTTGTCTAAATAATATGCATGTGTGAAATACTGGAATTAGTTCTTTCCAGTGTGTTGCATCCATGTGATCCATGTAATTATGAATCTCTCATGCTGTGTTCACGAGTAACATACTTTTTTGTAAGGAGATGTAGCATGTTTATTGTAGAGAACATAGAAAAGAATCTTGGCGAAGGAGAAGGTTTCAGTGGTTAAAAATTTTAATCAGATATGGAAAGATTACTCAAGTATGAAACCTATTAATCAATCAGTTCCTGTATAATTCTATAATTACGTCGACAAAATATGCCAGAATATTGTTGGTGAGCTTAATAAACTCTTGGTTTGATATCCATTTATTCTTCTGGGCACTTTTGCAGCATAAGTCAACAGATACAAGCCTCACATTACCATCCACTGGTATAGCTGCTCATGCAATGGATGAAGATGTTGAAGCTCTTGATGCTGATGATAATCGAGGTGCTGGAGCTGCTTCTACACAAGCTGAGTTGAAACCAAGATCAAAAATCTCGAGCTTGCCTTTTCCACCACCCCCTTTGCCTCCCATCCCTCCAAATGTCTATTCACAGGTTCTAATATCGACTTTTAATTTACTTTATGAATTTTATTTTGTGTGTGTGTGTGTGTGTGTTTGTGACATTATTTATGAGTAAAAAGCGTATTTATCTCATGTTCACATTTGATTTCTGATACATATCTTTTGTTCCCTTACCTTTAATATTATACGTGTGATGGATAATCAATTACTAGTCGATATCTTTAAGGGGAACTTTATTTTTATTCAAGTGTTACCTTGCAACCATAACGTGTAAGCTGAGTTGCTACGTTGATTTGCTTGCAGTACAATGGTGATGACGAGAATGTGGATATCGATGGACTTGACGAGGCAGTGGGTACTGTCTGACATTAATCCAACAGTCTTTATTCATGCAATTATGCGAAGAAGTTTTTGTAAGTTATGAGACCACAGGATTCGGTGTATGAAGTTTTTTGTTTTTTTTTTGTTTGTTTGTTTGTTTTTTGTTATGTTGACATTTTTCAAGGTTTTCTTAGCCAATGTATTTCACTTGAAGTGTTGCTTACGATGACCATGAATTTAAATGTTTACATTTTGGTGTTTTGGGCAGTAGGAAAAAAAGATGATAAAGGAAAAAAAACCAGAAAACACAATTACTTCAGGGAAGATATGTTTTCCTCATATTTTGAAGGTAGGCCAATATATATGTTGGGGAAAATTATATGTAAATACGTATATTTTCGACTTTTGCTACTAAATTATTTTTGTGTTAAAATGTAATTGATTCTGGCACCTCAGTTTGTTGAGATCATGAACTAGACATCTACATTCCCCTATAAATTGTGTACGTAAAAACCTTCGACCTTGCCGGATGGATTTTCTATTCCGGCCACCACCACGATTTTCTTCACATTTGCCTACATTTATGGTCACTTCCAGTCCACAAACTCCTTGAATATTGAGCATACCCCTGGATTCTATTAGTTATTATACCTCTTCACATTTGCTTACATTTATTATCACTTCTAGCAACTCCTTCAAAATAGAACAATAGCCCTTGGATCTACTTTTTATTGCTCCACTTTAAACATCATTTCGTACATTTGCATTCTTTTCAAATCAGGTTTTATTCATTGCTAGGTAATTTTCTTTTAGCATTTCTCGGCTAGAGAATGTGTTACCTAAATTTCATACAATATTATAAGTTGTATTTTTTATACCATGAGAATGAAAATGAGCTGAGTCTCCATTTTTTTGGTTTGGTACATAAGGCAATGTAGTTTAGTTAATCAGGTCACAACGTACTCATGTCATTTTACATTGATTCATCGAACACAAAGATTTCTACAAGTCACTGTTGGAAATCAGTGGTTTCGAGTCATCTATTATATTATCTTCAAAGCCAGAAAATATAAGAATAAGTGGGTCAAGCAAAAGGGAAGAGGCAGAAAACACAAAATTCTTTGATTTTTGGCTGCCTCTAACATAAGTTAACCAGCAACTAAATCCTCACTAACATCTCTAGACTGTTCTGTGCAAAACAATTCATGGAAAATTGTGCGTGAAAATATTTTTTAGTGAAAAATGGTCAGCTTCCAATAAGTGAGGAAGTTCAGGTAAAACAAAGGCATTCATGGGAGATAGCAGAAGGATAAATTGTGTCATGACTCTTCTTCGATGCATTTGGGGCATTTACATGTGAACCCATAGTCAGCTAGTGATTCCTGCCTCTCTTTGTAAGGAAGATCCTCATCTATGTACGATATCGTTATCTGAAAATCAAACAATGAAACCCGAGATAGAAGGTGCATAAAAGACACGCTCACACGCAAATACTATCCTTTAAGTTCAGTCTTTTAATTTAAACTAAGACCATTCCACTTATCCTTTTAGATTACAAGAAATTAAAATTACACCTTCAAATGTATTTCTATCTTGACAAACCTGCACCTTATTGAGGATGGTTATTTGCGCAACAGATAAAATATTCAAGGTCATTAAGGATTCTTTTTGATAATTCAGAAAATACGGAAAATTTCTTAACCAGGCTAAAGATAGTGAGGCATTTCAAAATGAATTGTTACCTCTTCTCCCTTTCTAATTGGTCGTTGAGCTATGACAGTAGCTTGGCCATCCTTGTCCTGATTAAGCAAAAAAATTACATTTATGAGCAGTTTCGTTCAACATGTGGATTCATGAAGAGATTTTAATACCACTGCCAAAGGACTAATAATATACAAACCTCTTCCCGCTTAAATGCTTTTGCATTAGGAATGCATGAGTGATTCATACAGCTCTGCAACGGGAAAAATGCAGTACCTGATGCAGATTAAGAAACCCAAGTGGAACTTTAATGAGAGATTTCTATGAACTAAAACTGTATTAAGGTCCCATATGATTTGGTATCTTCATATTTTGGTCTGCGCAATAGCTCAAACGTCACATATCAAGAAAATATTTTATATGAACCACACCAATTGCTTGAATCATCATTACGCGGATGATGTAAAGAAAAATTGATTTTCCACAGTGACATTTACCTTCACATGAAATTGAGTAATCATCTCCAAGGGCATCAAGGAATGATTTTGTTATCTTTTCAGCTTCTTTCTGCAAATAAGTTTCATTTCACATATTCATCATGTAATACCATAAATACAGCAATATTGTCCTCACCTTTTGAGAGAGAGGAAGATCATCAATGAACAAGAAGTAATCCTCCACTGGCGATGCTACAACCAAATCACTATAATATATATTGGTTAGTAAACATGATTGCATATCACAGTCCATTTGTGTGTATTACAAGATACACAAGCATGATTCATCAACTTAAAACGGAGAATGAAGCACTTACAGGTTATTCAGCTCAAACATGCCAATTATATGACCATAGACATCAAGAGAAAACACTTGGCAAAGGTTAAGGTGTTCAAATGTGGACCAAAAGGAAAAAAAGAAAGTAAAACGAATGCTTTTAGTAATAATCGAGCTAGCTTAGAGCATCTCCAATGTGGCTTTTGACTTCATAAAAATTCATCCATATCATCAACTTTTGGAAGTGTATTACTAATTTATTCTTCAATGCATCTTGTCATGAACTCTTTCATGATGAGGTGGATAGCATTTAATGTTGACAATGTTGAACACACTTTCTAATATCTAACACCATGTTAAACATGATGACTAATCAATTCATTTTATATTTGATTTAATTTTTTATTGTTCTTGTATTAATGATTATTTTAATTGGTCCACATATACAAATAACTTCTTATCAAATTGATGCATTGGAGATAATAGTTTGATTCAAATTTCTATTCTTTTAACATTATTCCTACATGGATTAACATTACAATCATTGATTGACATGTGCTAAAAATCATTGTCTTTCAAAGCTATAACATTGGAGATGCTCTTATTAAGTAGGATACACAACGCGCATTCTTCATCATAAATGGCTTCCTTCAGGAGCTGCAGGGACTGAATAATTCCAAACATACTATTAGACTACATAAAGTAGTCAAGAAAAAAACTAGAACTGCAAAGTTCTTGAACGAGGAGCTTATATTGGAAGAACCCGCAAGTTCCTATCATTAAACTATATAATGGTATAGACTACTCTGCCTTCGTTTATTCCTGAAGGTACTCCAGAAAGAGAAAAACCCTCATAATCACTTTAATAATGTGGCATAGTATAACCCAACCAATGGAAGAGAACTGGTTTAGGATAAACCAAACTGTCCAGGGTAAACCAAAATGAGCAAATGATCAACTGATCATCAAACTTTCTATGGGATATTAAACTTGGTGAAAATAGTCTTTTTCACCCCACTATGAAAATGTATTAAGTTTTTTCACACCGCCCACTGATAAGTTACCCTTTTCACCCCAGAAAGTGCGAAGGCTATGCGGTCCCTTCACATAACCTTCGCACTTTCTGGGGTGAAAAAGTTAAATTGTTAGCGCGGTGTGAAAAACTTAATATATCTTTATAGTAGGGTGCGAAAGAATTTTGCCCTTAAACTTGTGTTTTTGAAGATTACCTCAAATGCTAAATGTTTTATTTGCAATCTGAATTCTTCTTCATCACAAGAGTCAACATCTTCAGGCAGAGCAACACACTCCCACCACCTGCAAGTACGAAACCCATACTCACTTCCAGACATGCAAAGGGACTTTAAATATTTACTGGCAATATGTCCCGTTTCTTGTCCAAGTGTAAAAGACAAACAAGACGATCACAGAGTTTAAATTAACCTAATATAGTTCAGAGTCCTATTTTTTTAAGATTTTCCAGCTCATACGATATAGATCTTATTTTTAAAACTAAGGAGAACATAGAGATAATTGACATGATATTAAAGGTGGTCATATGAAGATACTTGATGTGGAAAGAGATGATGCAGGAGTACACTAGAACACAGCCAATGAAATAAGTGGAGAATTTCTATATTAAGATCTTTAAACTAAAAGAACGAACATGATTTGAAGTATACCAATAAAGTAAATAGATATTCAGAAAGGAAATAAGTTTGCAATAGAAAGAAAGAACAAATATTAAATTATTCTTTATAACTGCTCATAAGATTGGAGTAGCAGTTGCAGCTCCAGATTTTCTTTGATTCACGAAAGGCAAAATTTACGGTTAACACAACAGGAAACAAGGCAGGATACAAAAATAACCAAAATGTTAATCAAGTCCAAACCTTTCATGCATGCAAAATATCAGATTTACAACTCAGATTGCCAGACCAAAGTTAACCTAATTTTCCGTGCATGTCACCAAATTAATTCTTCAGGATCAGATAACTCTGAAATTGATTTTTCACAAGTTTTCGGATAAAAGATTAAATATTCTGCAGTGTTTTATGTGCATTGCTTACGTAATGGTTTGATAAAACCTTGTTACAGCATTATGGAACTCCTGAAAGAACCTTGTGTCTGTTCAATGCATGATTAAAATAATAGAACAGGCAAAGAAATGAATGATTTGCATATGCGGCAAAATGAAATAGGGTCCTTGAGAGATGAAGAGTTTGGGACACCTTCTCTTGAATCCCATGGAAACAGGCTTCCATGCCTCCAATAGGAAAGAGGAGATATCATTGTTGTTCAGACAAGATGCATCATTCTTGCCCTTCTCTTCACCCTGAGCCACTTTTAACTTTCTGTATCTCAAAATGGTAGATGAAATCACCTGCAAAAGAAGACGACTGATATGATCACTTTTTTGGCCTATGTGCACTGTTTACCTGAACTAGATAGCCGTGTTGTGTTGTGGCTAGCAGCAGATGAGACCAAAGTTAGATATATCATGTTAAACTAATAAAACTGGTTTTGTCAACAGGCATACTACCTGGTTAAATGCTAGCAACACTAGGGAGAATCCATGCATTAAGTCTTACACTAAGGCCAAGAGTAATATATAGGTTCACTCAAATTTTTCTGATTTCAAGAAATTGATCTACAGAGATCAACCTGAGTTTTAAGCCAAAATATCCAGGAGTACTGATACACCAACATAAAGCTTGTCTCAAATCAATCATCCGTGGTGACAACTCTCATGTGGCATATTTAGTTGTTAAACAATAAGTCTGCTAAAAAAAGTAGTCTCTTCACACACTTATCACATGCTTGGCAGCTGACAGCCAGTCAACGCGTTATTTAGTAATTTATATTTATTTCCATAGGGTTTGTGATATGAACTTATACACCTGCACTTAAGTTTTGTTCAGATGACAAACTACTAACTATCGAGCATTTTGATGCTAGTCTTGCCTTCCATTCAACCAGTCACGTTACTTACCAACTACACTCTTCAGTTCATTTCAAATGATTCAAACTTAATCAGAGGAAGAATAACTATAACACACCGCAAACATTCAAGGATTAACCAGCATCACAGAAATTACCTTTGCAGCAAGGATGAAGATATCATTTGTTTCTGGAGAAAATGTATTAGAATGTTAATCAACCTCGAGAGCAATATTATAGCAAGAAAATAATAGCATACTGAAGGACAACAACGAATTCAGAGAGAGAATTTGCATCTTTACCATTTGCATGTTTCGTGAATTTCTCGAGTGCTTTTGTATTAGGTGAAGATGATCCTTTCCCATCACAGAGTAATGAATGGAACAAATCCCAATCAGCTTCCGCACACGATTGGCTATAAAAGAGAATCTTATTATTTGATGTTTAAATGAGAACTATAATAACGATGCATAGTAAAATTGCGGGTACATAGTAGTGTACTACATACACAAGCATCTTAACAGTAACAGATGCATTCAGTTAACGCCATCTAAAATAAAAAAAAAAAATCTCAAAATGGAGAACATTTAGCTACAAACTTTAACAATTATACTCGCCCAGCATAGAAAACACAACACCCCATGTCCATAATTAGCCTAGCCATTATATTGCCACATTTCACAACCACTCAAAATAACAAAACTAAAGTGCCATGAGAAGGCTCAGGTCTCCAAATGGTGACACTAGCTTTACTAATAAGGTAGATGAAGTTCATTTCCCATTAAAAGGATACCTGGCATAGTCCAAGCAAGAAAATTATTAATTATATCTGTGCACATAAAAGTGAATGTATAGCCAACCTGCAGTAATGAGATTCTAGGCATCCTCCCAGGCATGAAACAACCGAAGGCAAAGGGAACTTCTCTGAATAGGGTAAAAGCAAGTTGCCATTCATTAATGACTGGATAGTATCTTGTGGGAGACGAGTCTTGTGTGATGGGCTACTACACGATCCCTCATCATTAGAAGGCCCACACTCATCAACTGCACGGATCCCCAACTCTTCCAGATACAGTTTCCTTCCAATCTGAAGCTCTATAGAGCCAATGAATCGGAAGCAAAAGCTACACACCAAGCAATCGATCTTTCCATATACAAAGACAAGATGCAACAAAATAAATAAACAACTAAAAGAAGATACTACAAAAAGGATATGCTAAAAACATATCATGACACCTTGTTGGATGAATGTTGTGCACCAGCAAGCATTTGATCCTTCAATACTAGGTCACCTTCTTGAAAATCTACTTCACTGAAAACTCCTGCAGTTGAGTTTCACCAATCCATAATCCATATCAAATCTCCAACAATAGGCAACAGCTCAATTTTTTCGCAGCTTCACAATCACATTGCATCGATATTCAAGGAAATTTTGTTCTAAAAAAATGGAAACGGAAACAAAGAATCAAATGCAAAGCCGGTTAACATTCAAACACAGCAAATTTTGTTAAGAAATCAAAAGCGAAACACCTTTGCCATGCTCGCTCTCTGGTTTCACCCTGAGCCTGGAGCATTTTCTTTCAGATACAAGTACTTCATAGTACTCCTGTTAACAGCATAGACAAACATGAACAAACAAATCAACATACTCCCCCACACGCGTGTACACTACGTATAGAGAGAGAAAGCTGCTCGCCTGAACTTGATGAAGGGGCGGAGGCGTGAGAAGGGCGGAAACTTGGCCGGCAAATTTTGCGTCGATTGGGCATATTGGGTCCTCCATTGAAGTCCTCTCAAATCGCCCTGCTTTTCTTCTCTCCACTCTGTACTGCGCCGCCAACTAGCGTCTGCAATTTAAAAGATGAAGGTGATTATTATCAAATTTATTATATACTTACGATTTTTTATTATTTAACAATAATCTATATATATATAATTACTAGCTAAACAATAAATTTTACCTAATAAATTTTACCTATCTGGCAAATCATTAATCTATACTTATATAATAAATATTAACATTTATCAAAATTAGTAACTTAATTAATGGTCAAAGTCAGTTTTGCATTTATTACTTTTCAAAATCGGTAACTCTTATGTCTATTTCACACGCTCAGCATTTATGTCCTTTTCACATGCCTTTTAAGTGTCCTCATTAACAGCGTCCTTATCGTATAATTCGTATAATTTTTTATGGTAACGAAATAATCTCATTTCATACGAGCATCCTTATCACATATTTTTTTTATGGTAACCCTTTAAACATATTTTTTTAACGATAAATTGAAAAAAAAATCGTATTATAAAGAGAAGATATCTGGGATAATTTTAAGATTCACAAACAAAATCTTAGTATAAGGAGAAGATATTTCATACACCTTATCATTATTCAAAATTGATATTAAATTTGTTATTCATTTTCTAAAACAAATACATGTGTTGAATTATTATCTCTAAAAAACTATACAGAACATACCTTATCATTATTCAAAACTGATATTAAATTTGTTATTCATTTTCTAAAACAAATAATGTTGAATTATTATCTCTAAAAAACTATACAGAACATACGCATATATATATATATATATATATATATGTACATATACACATATTAAATTTAAATATAGACATATTTTCTTTACAAAATAGTCTAGAAAAATCTTTTTTACACAATGTTAAATTCAAATGTTCTTAGATATGTTTTCCTTCTAAAATTGTTTAGAAAAATTGTAGATGACTTCACATCTTTCAAAAATAATATAGAAAATTTTGAATACTTTTACATATATACTACTATAATATTTTAGGTGCTTTTAATATTAAACATGCAAATTTTATATTCTCTTATACAAAATAATGTAAATTTCATATTTTCTTATACAAAATAGTTTTACATTGTTTGACCCCGAATCTTTAATTTATAATTATTAAGTATTGTTTATCCTCCTCTTTACTTTATAATTATTTTTTTTTTTTCTCTTTTTAAATAGGATCAATAGTAGTTTCCACTTCCGTCAGTGACTCAAACTCGAGATCTATTTATAATATTGTTAATTTAATATTGTTCCCGTGCATCGCACGGGGTACACACTAGTAAAACCTAATAAATAGAATCTAATAAATTTTATTTATGTGGCATTAATACACCCAATCTCATTAATAAGAAAATATTTTATTACATTTTTTTGGGTTAATTAAGACAAAAACTATTATATTTTATGTTAATTGATTAATAAATATATTTTTTATTGAATAATATAATAGTTAATATTAAAATTAGTAATTATATTTTATACTAAATAATATATGAAAGTTACATAAAATTATATTTTACATTAAAATCAATTTTTTTTATATGATGAATCGGTTGTTTATTAATAAATTAATTTTTTTTATGTCATAGTAAAATTTCTTAAAATCACATAAGCAATTGTTATAATAAATATAATATTTTTCAGCTAATTAATTGGTCATGATCATTCAAAATTATAAAAAGTATATATTTATTACATTTTATGCAATCAATATAGTGATTCGTATACAATCAAATCGTGAGTACTATTTATTTTAACCAATGATCAAATTTTAAAATATAATACAATTATATAATTTATAACTTTAATATTATATACATAAATATAACTTATAATACTATATGTTTGAAATATAATACAATTATATAACTTATAATTTTTATATTATATACATAAATATAACTTATAATATTTAATTTTATTTACATCTGTGCAAATGCACAGAGTCGAAGTATTTCATAAATACAAATAGTAGTTACTACCTTTATAAATTAAAGTCAAAATAATTATCAATCCTAAATAAAAATAATAAGATTTATTTGTTTTTAAATAAAATAATAATATGATTTTTTAAGAATTATTAGAAAGTTTAAATCATAATCATCTGTTTTTTAAGAATTATTTGAAAGATTAATTCATAATCAAGTTTAAATCATAATCATCTGATATTATTATTTTTTAAATTTGAATGTATAAATTTTTAATTTAAAACCCATATATTATATTACACGAGTATTAAACTGCCACTTATTGATCATGGTTAAAAAGTAAAAACTAGAAATATATTGGTTGATGAGTATTATTTTTTTATATTTAAAGTATATATATGATGTGATCAAAAAAATAAATGTGATTGACTGTATTTCATTTCAAGAATACATTTGTGTCCAATCACAATTTAAGAAAAAAGAAAATTTATAATGAAACTAGAACTTCTCTATATTCAGTCCCCACCATAATTCATAGCCAATCACATACAAGCTAATTTCATCACATCCATAGTACAGAAGTACCCAAAACCTAAAATAAAATTGCTTTTTTCTTTTATTTTTATTTTTGGAGGAAGACAAAAACAGTCACACACTTAAATTCCACTAGATTAATATTGACATCACCACACTAAGCTAAAATGAAGAATAAGGTCCTTTAGAGATCATTTATTTATGCATTAAAAGACAGTGCTCAGATAGAGTTCCATTGTTGCATATAATAGCTCTAGCTCCAGCTCCAGCTCCATTTGGTCACATAACTTAAAAGTACAATAATGTGTTCCATCTGATAATCAGCACCTGCAGAAGAACAGACGAATCACCTATTACTCCAAACGAACTAAAAACGTACAAGATTTTTCCTTTTTTAGGAAAAAAAGAACGAGAAGGGGATTATTTTTCACTTACTAGCTAATGTAAGTCAAACACAACCGAAGAACTGTTCGAGAGATGTGGCAGAGAAAACATTGGAAACGGGTCGTTCAAGCTTGACAGGCGAAATGTGAAGTAGATACTTGATGAATCTCTGGATGACAATGAAAAGAACATAAATTTGCGTGAATATTTCAAAGGAACAAGTGGGAAAATGAAAAGGATAAAAAAAAAAAAAAAGGAGTTTGGATGGGAAAAAAATCAGTCAATCAAAACCAACGTTTGTTGCCTTTCAAGTGAATACACATATACTCTGATTTGAATCCCTATCAAGTTCCCACTAAGCTGGAAGCAACAACTTCGAATTCTATTCAAAACGAACTAGATTTTATATATGCATACCGCTAATTGGGTAACAATTTCAGGATTCGAGTCTATGTGCCAATCAGGTTCGAGTTGTCTAACAAAAGACGCCCGTCCGTTCTCTGTGCTACAGAAAAGAACCTGAAAGTGCATGGGATTAACATAATCACAGACAGTTAGCAACTAGCCGAAAAAGGATAAAAAAATAATAATAAAAGAAATAGAGAAAAGGCCAGGTAGATGAAGTAGCTTATTGTATGTAACGAACAGGCAATAGTTACACCTTATCTTTCACCAAGCCACCAGATGTAAAAACCCCAGCATCTTCCAAAGCCGAAAGAACTTTCTTCTGCATAAATGTAATCGGGCATATTACTGATCTTGAAGCCAACTTCAATATAAGGCGATAACAAAGTTTAACAAATTACGACAACAAATATACAACCTTAATTAGGTAACATGTATGACATGCTATAATGCTTCAAATCTGAAATATAATTCTCCCTAATTATCACAGTAGTTCTAAGAGTATTTATAGGGGTAAATATTTTCAAAAAGCGGTACATTATCATGTCCAACACATTGTACCCTAGAACACATTAAGGTTCATCTCATCTATAATGTCACAAGACTAACAGAATAATATCCTTGCTGACATCTAAATTGCTGAGGATAAAGC